AATCCCAGGGGTTCGGAGGCCCAGGCGGAGCATCCCACGTTGTACCCTGGACCCCCCACCCCCCGAAATGCATGCATGGATGGCCTGGGGGGCGGGAAAGAAGTCTTGCTCCCCCTCCAGGATGGGAGGCGATGTATTTTGTCTACTCCCCCTCCAGCGAGCGAGGCGATGTACAGTAGTATTTTGTTTACTAAAAATACCCTCCCCCCAATCACCAAAAAAGGCCCCCTGCCTGGTCTGCTGGACTTCACTTCCCATCATCCCCAGACGTCGGTCTCGGCGATAGAAGCATGGTAGTCGCATCCCCTTACAGGTCTATCTTTCCACCCACCCCCGTCTTTCTTTTTTTTTGCGGTGGGGGGGGCAAGCCATCATTCATTGGGCACAGTTCTCAGACCTGGCACACCTCGTGGATCTTGTATGAAAAGGGAGACGTTTCTCTTTTGCCTTCTATTCCACCATCACTTCCTGTCCTCCAAATAATAATATCTGCTATAAAATGCAACCCCACCCCTTACAAACCTAGCCCTTCCCGCGTGCATTGTGGATTCTTGCTGGAGATGGAGGGCCTTGTGCAGCTGAGGGCCAAAGATTTCTCGCGACCACGGGCCACATTCTGCCACCCCTTTGCCTTGTGCCGGCTTGTTGTTGTTCAGTCGTTAAGTCGTGTCCGACCCTTCGTGACCCCATGGACCAGAGCACACCAGGCCCTCCTGTCTTCCACGGCCTCCCAGAGTTGGGTCAAATTCATGTTGGTCGCTTTGGTGACCCTGTCCACCCATCTCATCCTCTGTCGTCCCCTTCTCCTCTTGCTCTCAAACTTCTCTCCCCCCCCATCCCACCAGCACAGCTAGCTAGACTCCAACTCCCATAAATTCCTGGCACCAACATGGGAGAATCTAGGCAGAACCTTCTGGGAAAGCTTTAAAGAAAGCATCTTTGACAGTTGGCACAAGCAGCCTGGCCTTGTGGGACAGGTGGGTGAGGTGTGGGATGCTCTGCCGGCACAGCCATTTTGGCCACATCACCCACCAGAGGCGAAACTGCCTCGCTTAGACTTCGCTAAGCAGGTACAGGAAGTGCGCAGCGAAAGGGAGCGTGTTGGGAACGATGAGCTCCTAAGCACACCGCCCTACACGCCACCTTGAGTGGCTCCCTAAAACCCTCTGGAAAAGAACAGCCTGCACCATGTGGGGCGAGGCACCCAAGGGGCAGGGACGGCCCTCCGACCGACCTCTTACTGTCCCTTGGGCAAACAAAGCAACCAAGTGGAACCAGGCTCAGCTGCTTCGCTTGCAAGCTCTAAGTGGCTACAGGAGTTGCATCTCAATGGCTGAGGGCTGGGGTGAGAGAAGCAGACGTCAGCAGGGACCCCCTTCAGTGAAAGAAGGCCTTCCTCTTGCCCACTGCAGCGGAGAAGCAGACGTCAGCAGGGACCCCCTTCCTCTTGCCCACTGCAGCACCGTTCACATGGCACTGTCTCACTAAGATGCACTTGGAAAAGAAAGAGGGAGGCGCAAGGGTGATGCTGGATGCCCTCATCCACAGAGAAACGTCGTTATAGTAACCTTTGAACTGCGGAGCTGGAAGGGACCCCGTGGGATCATCCAGTCCAGCCCCTGACAAGGAGGCCCAGTCCGGGAGGGAATTGAGCTTCCAACCTCTGGCTTTGAACCTAAAATCACTGGGCTAGCCAGCAGTTCTGTGCCTCAGTCCACACGGCCAGAAAGCCAACCTTGGCAAAGACAAGAGGCCATTTGGGGTGAAATCCAAATGGCCTGGTAGTCTGCAGTTTAGTTATCTGCCTCCTTTCCACCGTTCAAGAGAGCATGCGGACTTCATGACTCCCACTTGCTGTAACATCATGTCTGATAAAGAACTATGTTTCTCTCAAAAGCTTGCACAGAAAATGGTGCCCCCTTTCAGCTGGCCAAACGGAGGAAGCATCTCGGCACCACCGATTTGCAACTTGTCTGACAGCGGAGGTGGCTTCCTTGGCATCCCATGTGCAACACTGACGTCCTCCCTCTGTCACACACTGCCCTCCTCTCCCACTTGACTCACAGCCTTCCTCACTTCCAGTGACCATCTTCCCCCCCACCTCCCAAACTCATGGGCTTCTGCAGGGCTTTAAAAGGGGGGACCCACCTTCTCCCCTCCACACCCTCATGCCCATTTTGCTCAACACGCCAGACTCCCACAGGGCCCACGAGCCACCGTGGTTCCCTTTGGCTCCCCAAACCCCACCACAAAGCTGCCTCAGAACCTGCTCCGAGGCACCGGGGGCCCACTCACTGCAGAAGGCAGCCACCGGCGGTCCTCCAGCCCTTCTCCACCTGCAATTCCCAACAACCTATACCGTGTGCTGGTCACGGCAGAGGCACCTGGTAGCCCAACAGCACCTGGGAGGGCCAAGAGCTGCCCACTCGCCATCTACATCCATCCCAGGCCAGTTTTCTCTGAACGAGAATACTGGAGGAAGGAGATCTGCAAGCACAGGTAACTGTCCCACCCAGGGCAGCTTCAGTGGCGGCATCTCTCCATTTCCCTTTCCGTTTGAAAAGCCCTTGTTGCTAGTTCTCAAGCTTCCTCGGAACCCCAGGGACACATCACAGAACTCTTCTGCACGGGCCCCTCTGTTAAACCTTTCCCTTTGTCAGGCCGGCAGGGCCTTTTCACCGGCTTCTTTCTCTTCCCCACCCATCCCAACACTGTCTGGCTCTTCCCTTGCCAGCTCCTGAAAACCCTCCTTGCTTGATTCTTACAAACTTGAAAGGCCCTTTTTATTGAGCTGGGTCGGACCAAAGACCCCCTCCACCACTCTTGAGATCCCGTTCCCACAATGACCACAGGAAGCACGCCAAGAAAAGAGGAGAGCAAGGGCACCGTCTGTCTCACAGTTCCCAGCCAACCACACCCTCCAAGGCAGTCTCTCTCTCTCTCTCTCTCTCTCTCTCTCTCTCTCTCACACACACACACACACACAAACACATGGGTGCAGATGACACAGGCATCCTGACTAACAAGCAGCCAGGAAGAACTCCAGGTTCTCATCTCCCTTTAAAGCTGCCCACACTGGAAGCCTTCCCGACACCCAGGGGTTGTGAATGCCATTTTCACGATGCACGGCCTGTGAGCACATTATGTCTCCTGGGTCTCCCACCGTTCAGCTTTTGGAGGTGAGCCCCTCCCTCTCGAACCTTCCTCTTCCTCTCTCTCTCTCAAAATCTCACCTTCCGTTTGAAAAGTCCTAGTTGCTCATCCTCAGTTCTCCTAAACCTCCAGTGACGAGGACATCTCTCCATACCCACTTTCTCTTTAACCTGCACAATTGTACACATCAGAGTTGTGTTCCCTTCCTTTGGCTGCTTTTCTTCCCTAAGTCCCAAACACGGCAAAGCCAGCCCTTTCTTTTCTCAGCTTTGCAGGAAGCCTTTTTCAGAGGGCAGGGACCGAATCAGGGCCCACTTCTCTTCCTACCTCGGCCGAGAGGCACAAAACTCTGGAGCCAGGCTCAAGTGGAGGCACAGAGAACTCCTTTCTACAGCTGCACAAAATGGCCTTGCAGGTGGGGTGGGGGTGGGCAGAAGGTAGGAAAACCAGCTGCACTTGCGTGCTTCTCCAAAGAACGGTTTTTATTACCCACAATGG